TCGTTGTCTATTCTTCCATTGCACCCTATCCTGTTCCAACAGTTCAATATCAGTGAAATAATCCAGTCGAGCAACTTTGGCCTCCCTCATCAACATTCATGACATTACTTTCTTCGGTGTAGAAAGTACAACCTTAAGAAAACCAATACCTAAATAAACGAATCAAAATAAAATATTGCAGTGGAGTACATATTGCACATAGACAGCTCTACAAATAGGCGTGGCGAAATCAAAAAGTGTATTACTAGAACTAAAATTCATATATAAAGGGCCCGAACCCACACCCTGCCGATACGCAGGCGAACGTCTAGCCGCTACACCTCAGCAGCTGCTTGCAACATGGATGGTTAGTTAGGATGTATGTCGTTTTCTAAAAAGTAAACATGGTTAGTTTTTTTTTAGATCTACTAGGATTGTTTATTTATATGAATGTGTGGGCATGTGCGTTCACCAACAGGCATATACAAATAAGCTGACGGGTAGAGAGTCGGACTAACGAATAGACAAAGGCAGACAGACGGCTAGACAGACATTGACTGACAGACAGGCAGACATAGGTATACATAGACAGACAGACGTAGGGTGAGGAGTTGTAGGTAAGTTAACAGGTGGGTATCTCATTGTCTATCTAACTGACTTGTCCCTTTTTTCTCTCGGTCATATAAAAGCATTCCTGCCCTCTTGTTTTTGCTGACGTGTCTATCGGGCTAGTATCCTTTCCTTTGTCCAAATACTAGCGTTGTCACACTGTGCTACAGAGAACCATATTAATGTTTTTCACAGCGGTTTCAAGCATGTTCGTCTTAACGTTTGGAGCCGCATGGCACTTGCCCCGGGGCCTCTACGATCAAGGGGGCCGCATGCTTATCTGACTAAATGTTTAGTATTATCGACAGTTTACAGTTCATTCCTGTGAGTGGTTGTGGTAGTGGCCCCCAGCACACTACTTTGTACAGGGGCTCATAATGCTGTTAAGACGGCTTTGGTTACAACACCATTGTTGCCACATTATGCATTTAAGCGTGCATCTTCTCACGCTCGGCTCATTACGTGTTTGTTATAGTCTTTTTTTAATCCGCCCTTGTCTTTTCTACTTCCTTCGTTCTCTTGAAAGACATTATCTATATCTGCTGTTCTGTTTCTATTATGAACCTCACTGTCTGTTGTAATTCACTTTGCCTCCTGTAAAGTTTGCCTTCCACCAGTGTCTCTCTAGGTCAGACGTTTTGTCAGGAAAGGTTTATCTGGGTCAGTCTTGTAGGATGTGATCATCTGTCTCAGGTGCCAGTCCACAGGTAGACATGGCTGATTCACTAATCTTACATTTTGTATTCATGGGCTGCGAAGTCGATTATGCCCTGATCGAAGGCGGAGGATAATGACTTGCTTTGGTGTGTCCATAATATGGCAATAGTCTTGAGCCAGTTTCTGTGGCTTTCTGACTGATTTGATTATTCTCTTCTTCTGTTGATAAGAGACTGGTATGTCAGGTTGTTCTTCAGTTGCACCTTCCTTAGCTAGTTTATCAGCTTTTTCATTACCAGGAACTCTACAGTGGGATGCTATCCATTGCACAACTGCCTTATACCAGTTGCCTAGTTCAGATAGCAGTGACCGTAAACCTGGTAATTTTTCAGACTGCAGTGCCTGAAGTACAGCTTTTGCACCAGTCAGGAATACCACTGGTTGTGAAATATAACAGGTATTCAATAGTTTCTCTGCCGCTATTCTAATGGTTTGAACTTCTGCATCATAGTTGTGACAGTGCTTTCTTGTTGGTATTTTGGCTGTATCCCTGGTATCACTGGGATGCTCAGTGTACACTCCTGCGCCTTCATTTCTGCTTGTGTTTTTTTACTGGCCCATCTGTGTAAACCCTACCCCAACGATTCTGCATGTATTCATCCTCATGTAGACTGAGGGTTTACACTGCACACTGTTTTGTTCTTCCTTATCAAATACATCTTTCATTTCTGTTTTGATGAGTATTGGGAACGTACTCATCGCTCCAGGGAGTCCGTTCTGCACCAGCAATTAAGAAACTATCAGTTGCAGGCGGTTCAATGGGTTGTCTGCAGAGCCGTTTGGCCTTGTGGATGAAATGACTTCTTTTTAATCGCCCTACAGCTAGATTTTGAAATCTTTCATCTATGGGATGACTGGACATGCTAAGAAACTTGTCTGCTTGCACTTTTCTCTATTCACTTCCTCATATTTTTCTTATTATGTAGGATCTTCAAAGGCAATCCCCCTTGGATTCACCCTCAATGCCTGTATTGTTCATGTCCCTCAAGAACCTAGCACATTAATGTAAAGTCCTAACCTTCTGTTAAATTCAATGCATCCCCAGAAGCAACCGAAAGTGGCCCAGCTGTCTTCCTGCAAACCCTAAACAAAATAACATCACAAGTTGAAATACATAGTCCCCGCCTTCAAAATCCTGTCAACAGACAAAATATATTTACACCACGTTTCTGGAACTCAATGATGTTGAGTTGTTGGACATCGTTTTAGAAAAAGCTAACCAAGAATTAATCCTGCATAAATTTGATGTTGAAATCATGAAGATCTCAGGAAAAATGACGGCATTTCATCAAGTAATTGAAAGGAATAACATTCGTGTTTTGAAAATATTACTCAACAAACTAAATGAAAATAAGAGGGTGGCCATTCTCAGTGAGGAGACACCGGTTGAGATCAAAGGGTCAAAGGCCGCGAACTTTTCCTTGTTTACATTTAGCTGCCTATTACGGATTGAGGTGCCTGGTGGAATATATTCTTGATGTTGGTGTTGATGTTAATTGTTTGAATGCCAAAAAAGACACAGCGCTCCTGTGGGCTGCTCGATGGAATCACGTGGAGACGTTACGTTTGCTTCTGTCCCGTGGCGCCAAGGCAGACCTGGAAAACGACAAGGGGTCGACGGCATTGTACTGGGCTGTCAGGTACGGCCATAGTGATGCCGTCGTGGTGTTGGCCGGGGAGGGACAAGCTGATGTCAACAAACAGAGAAAGTTAGGGCTGGTCGCCCCCGTGGTGCTGGCGTCGGCGCTGGGGTTCGCCAAAACGCTGGAGATTTTGTTGAAGTTCGGAGCAGATCCGAACACTGTCATCAGGGGAAACGAGAGGCCTATCCATCATGCAGCCAAGGAGGGTTTTTCTGATATAGTTGAGGTACGTATTCGTATTGTGTTGTCATCTTGTAGTAGTTTATATGTCTATTTTCTCACCAAGCTATTCTCCGTCTCACCCTCTCCTCCTTTCTCTCCCCATTTGTCTGAATCTTTTTCTCCTCAACTCTCTCTCTCTCTTTCTCTCTGTTTTTCTCTCTCTGTCTGTCTGTCTGTCTCTCTCTCGCTCTGTGTGCGTGTATGTGCCACATATTCACATATTGTACTCTCTGCCCCAAAGGCTGTCTGGAAACATACAGCTGAGGTCTGCTATCTCCTCATCCACCTTATTACCCCCCCCCCCCCCCCCCCGGCCCCATCATTTAATTTTATATTTTTTGTTTGTTTATTTTTTCCTAATTCTTTGCCCAGCCCCCTCAACCCCCTAGCCCAGTGTTATCATACTGATTACATTGTGAATGTTAACAGGATCTGTGTTATCATACTGATTACATTTTGAATGTTAACAGGATCTGTGTTATCACACTGATTACATTTTGAATGTTAACAGGATCTGTGTTATCATACTGATTACATTTTGAATGTTAACAGGATCTGTGTTATCATACTGATTCCATTTTGAATGTTAACAGGATCTGTGTTATCACACTGATTACATTTTGAATGTTAACAGGATCTGTGTTATCATACTGATTACATTTTGAATGTTAACAGGATCTGCGTTATCTGTCTGGTTACATTTTGAATGATAACAAGATCTGTGTTATCAAAATGTGTGTTATCATACTGGTTATATTTTGAATGTTAACAAAATGTGTGTTATCATACTGATTAAATTTTAAAAGTTAACAAGATCTGTGTAATCATACTGGTTACATTTTAAATGTTAACAAGATCTGTGTTATCATACTGGTTACATTTTGATGTTAACAAGATCTGTGTTATCATACTGGTTACATTTTGAATGTTAACAAGATCTGTGTTATCATACTGGTTACATTTTGATGTTAACAAGATCTGTGTTATCATACTGATTACATTTTGATAAGTAGATGTACAAACTACTTGTAAAAACAAAACATCCCTGACTTTTGATGTTTTATAAATAATTGTAAAACAAAATGTTTTTTGTTTTGCTTTGTTTACAACTAAACTGAAAGAAAAAAATGTTTATATAGCATATTATTAAATGTGAGTTGAAACACCAGGAGATTGCGGACAACCAAGAAGAAGATTGATTGAAGGAGTCACTGATGCCGTGAGATTCCACAACATCATACCAAACCAAGCAGCCCAGCATTCCCTAGCCTGGAAACCGATTATCTATTAGCCTGCAACACTTAGTGGCACAAAGCAGAAAATGGACAAATGAAAGAAGAAGTTTCAGTAGTAGTTCAGTAGAAGAAGGAAGATTCACTCAATCAATTTTTCCAGTTGCTGGTGGAGTCCGGTGCTGAGGTTGATGCAGCAGACGTGAGGGGTGACACTGCGCTTTTACTTGCAGCAAAGTATGGCGCGGCTAAAGCTCTACAAACATTGGTAAGAGCTTTGTTGTTTTATTGCTCACTTTATTATTATTTTATCTGTCTACTCAACTTTAAAGAAAGTAAAAATGTTTAAAAGATTTACAGATGTCATTGTTTTCTGATTCACTAGAATCACTGTAAATAGGTGCTGTTTCACATTTTTCAATGTTTCCTTTTGATGGTGAAAAATCCATCAGATAAATATGTTTTGGAATAACTTCCTCGTTTTTTTCTGTAGTTAAACTAGACATATATTCTTTTTCTGTATTTGCTCTTCAAAGGTCAGTTGTTATGTTGTGTTGTAGTTTACAGCTACACTGTGTTGCTGTGAATATCTGTGCCTTTTGGTCCAACACATTCACTTTTAGCAAATCTTTAATTAGTCACTTTTTACAACCTGGAATGGGTCTGTTCTCGCCCCCCCCCCCCCCCCCCCCATTTTCTTCAGTTTTTTTCAAGTGTTAACGCGGGGCCCACAAAAGAAAATGAGACATTTCTTTATAATTAATAAATGGAAGAAAACAACTTTCCCAGAGTCTCTGCTAATAATAGGTACTGTTATTGTGACCAGCTGACTAGCGTTAGTCTGAACATTTACTGGACTTACCTGCTATCTGTTGTGCTGGTGTCTATCATTTGTTTCTTGTTTTCTGTCTGGTGTCTGTTTGTTTAGTATCTGGTGTCTGTTTGTCTGCTCTCTATCAGCTGTTAATCAGCCTGCTTATGTACGTATTTATTGTAGTTTCAACTAGACTTAGTTTTCCACACATAATTGTGACACATCTGTCCTCCCATGCTCCAGCTGAAGTATGGTGCCAGTCTTGAGCACAGAAACGTGCTGGGAGAAAACGTGTGGAAATTTGCCATTGCCAGCAACAATGACCTGATTCTGAAGCTTCTTGTGGTACATCAGGTATCAAAGGTTACAGATGGGACGACTGGTGAGCTTAATGTGTTCTCTCAGAGAAGGTTAATTTGTTGTATATAAAATTATGTTGCAAATATTTTGGACAGTCAGGGCAACTAACAACCAGTGTCTGAAAAATTGTAGTGAAACAGGATATTAATCACAAATGTAAGGCAGAAAACTATCACTGTCAAAGTTAGAGGGAGCAGATGGGACAATCAACAGCAACTCGTGATCCAATGACATGCAGTGTTACAGGATGCGATGGTGAAAGCAGACGCGATGTTCTTTGGGTTGGGGATAAGAAGAAAAGCTTTGGAGAACGTGGTGTCAAGTGGAAGAATCAGTGGTAGAAGAGGCATAGGCAGACAGAGTTTGAAGACCACTTGATACAGCAAGATCTGTCTGCCAGTAACAAAATGGTTTGCTAGAACCCTGCAGATAAATTTGAGTTTGTGGTTGTTCTCTCTTTTTAGTATTCATTTGTTTGTTTGTCCTTGTTCTTTCTTTACAAGATCTTAACATACTTTTTTTTTTTTAAATATGTGATATGCACAGATCTGTCGATGTAAACAAATGTACAGCTAAAAAGTGTTTATAAAAACCTGGCAGACTGCCTAGCGTTGGTCTTTGACTATGGTGTCAAGAGCCTATCGCTCAGAAAGCAATGGCAAAGCAGTGAATGTAAAATTTTCCAATGAAATAAAAAAAAAAAAAGCCAAAAAATGCTTGGGTTGGCTCTGCAATATCCTGTAAAAGATGCACAACTAATCTAAAAAAAAACTTGCAAACATAAAACACAATAAGAAGAGGCTTTGTAACCAGTTGAAGAGCTGAACCACCCAGTGGTTTCTAATTAATAAGATGATAATGATAATGAATTCCAGGCTTAAATAATAGTTAATGAGGATATTACATGTCTAACGTCATCGAAAACCTGGAAACTCTTAACATTTATGGTAGCTATTTTGTGCTTAGTTTCTGTACCTGATTTGTTGCCTGTTTGTGTCTTCCTTAGAATCTTTTTATGTCCACATCACTGTATTAAACTGGCACAAACTCTAATCCTCTGTAAACTAGGGTAGTCTAGCTTGAGGGAAGCATGGTTCCAATTGAGAACTGCTAAATTATAGGATTAACGTTGCCATTTTATTTGTATCTGATTTTAGAAATTTATGTTTATCTTCTAGAAAATAGAGTTTGTTGTTGTTGTTATCGATCCAGCGGTGCTTGAGCTTTCGCCCTTTGGCCCAATGCCATGTAGTGGAATTTGCATGTTTTCACAAGCTGTTCTTTTCCTCCATACAAGGTGTTCCACTTGTCTGGTCTCGGAGGGAGTAGCGTTCTTCTTGTCTCACTGAGTTTTGGGCACTCAAAGAGATGGTGTTCAACAGTTTCGTAGGGGTAGTTACATAGCTGGCACTCTGGGGAGTGTTGTGGCTGTATTCTGTTTAGATGTCCATTGAGTGGAGTGTGTTGTGTTCTAAGTCTGAAGATGGTGGCCTGGTCCCTTCTTGTTAGATGGTTAATGCTGTCATTAGGATCAGGGCCAGCCATATGTCTATAAACCTCTCTTCCAGTGTCTCCCATGGCCCATCTGTTCAACCAAGTCTCTTTGTTTATATCTCTTATCAGTGTTTTTGCTGTCTGGAGGGTTGTCGCTGAAGGTGGTTGTTCTTGTGTTGCTCCTTTCTTTGCCAATCTGTCAGCTCTGTCATTACCTGGTGTGCCGGAGTGACTTGGAATCCACTGCATCACTATTCTGATGTTGAATGAGGTAATAAGCTGATCAGCATCCAGGATTATCTTGGCTATGTCAGTTCTAGAAAATAGAGCTAATGGAACTAATTTTGTTTGTTTTCAAAGTCAAGTTTCCCACATGAACATTTTTGCCATATTAAAACTGCAGTCCCACTGAAAAATATTTTACCCCTATAAAAGCAGAAAGAATTCACAATCTGAAGTTGCCCTGGTAAGTCACATGACTGCAGTGAATTTCTAGAAATTAGACGAAGATGATGTATTACGGGAAATAGTTCATATTTCAGTGGAATTTATTCAGTTTTTCTGCTTCATTATGCGGTGATGTAACTATAGTAACACGCCTGATGAGATACAGTGAAATGTGCCTGGCAAAAAATTGTGCAATTTATTGTTTTTTGTCTGCATTATTTAAATCCGTTTAAACACACTTTTTAAAGCAAGGGCTGTAGGGTGGCAAGAAATAAAAAAATATGAGAAGGAAGAAAATTTCAATATGGGAATATACAATCTCTCAAGCATGTGAAGGACGTGAATTGTTGTAGATCATTGTTAGTCAGATATCTACAGAAATGATGCTGACAGCCTCATAAATGGATTTTTAAATTTATAACTTGTATCTATCATTTATCTGTTTTCTAGAAAATGGCCCAGACTTGAACTTATCAGCAAATGGCGTCAACTCATTATTGTTTTTGGCTGCCGCCGCTGGAAATGTCTCAATGGTGTCTCTGTTATTTCAAATGAAGGTTGTAGAGATATTAATTATATGATAGATTTCCTGTTCAACCCTTCTGGGTAATAAATGGGATGTATATTAACACACACACACACACACACGCACGCACACACACACACACACACACACAGATATATATATATATATATATATATATATGTGTGTGTGTGTGTGTGTGTGTGCAAATATATGTGTGTGTTTATACATATTTATATGTTTCAGTATTTTCAGATACTGGATATTTATGATTAATACTTGAATGTTGAATGAATGTTGAATTAAGAATCGACATCACAGCACTCAGGGCACCCCCATAAGCTCTCCATTCTCATCTTCAGCAGCTAAAAAAGAGTTAAAATTCTGATGGTACCAGTAACTGTCTGTATATCTGTCTCACCTTTTCCTTGAGTGTCGAATATAAGCCAGATTTCCTGGTAACTCCTCGCAGTGACATTCTCCTCACCCCATAATGATTCATCCATGCCTCGGCACTGCTCACTCGCTCCCAAAGAGCCCTCACAACATCAAGCTTGTCATAAATCACTTCACCACCAAGTAGTGCAGAACTGGCCAGTCTTTCTGCCTGCACATTTCCCAACACACCAGCATTATCTGGAGAAAATATCCAAAGGATGCTATTCAGGACTCTGAAGTGATGCTTGCCACTCTGCACGGAGCATGCCTGTCTCCACCTTTCTCAACATGCTCTGTGAGTCAGTTAAAATCACGGCATGCGTGTACAGCTGATTCTCAAGCCAGCCGAAAGCAGCAGTGAATGGCTCCACCTCCATTCTCAAACTAGACATTGTGATATCATATGCCAGGCTTTGTTGCACTAAGCAATGTCCAATCGCCTTCGCTGTGAACCCCCATGCACTTCGTCTGCCCCTCAGCAAAGAGCCATCTGTATAGATAATCAAATCACTTGGGCGGGAATTGTCATGAATCATTTGTTGAACTTCTGCTTCTGCAGCACCAGCTGGCCAGTCCCTTCACACACTTCCCAAAGTGATAAGAAGCCTACACAAGTCTGAAACCTGATTGGACACCTTGACCCACTCCTCACCTCGCCTAAACTTATCAAGCCTGCACATATGTCCAGTTGTGTCTTTAGCTTGCGCCATCCAAGACTTTCCTCTTTTCAGTTTGTGACCCTTAGCTTTACCAAGGGCTTCATGCAGGAGGTGCCTCTTGTCCACATACTCTGAGATATGACTTTGCCTGCAGAACTTTGAGCCTAACTTTGATTCATACTTTTAGGTATTTAATAGTGCATAATTATAAGGGTTCTGTATTATTTTTGAAAAGGCCAGTTGCCCTGTTGCATTGAGGTTTATTGCAACAGTGCGTTATCTTAGCTTTTTGGCCCAACACATTCGATGTCAGTTTTGTTCTGAGCAGTGGGTATATTCTGGTTATCTACCCAAAATAGGACCCCTGAACCCACACAGATGATTCTTCTTCTTTTTCTTTTCTTCTTCTTCTTCTTCAGCATTCCAAGCCCTTGAAGTTGATTGCTACAGATATCGCAGCTAATTGCTAATTATTGAAGATTATACAGTTATAGATTATAGGTGTTAAGTATAATAAATAGTAAGTGTACATTTAAAATACTTTTGATAACTGTGTGATATTATCTATCTATAGATAATTTTTGAGGGATGGGATTTATGCCCGGAATTGTGGTTGGTGGGCACAATATAAATGATTTACGTTATGCTGATGACACAGTCTTGATAGCAACAAGTCAGAAAGAACCACAGGAAATTATAGACATTGTGGTGTTAGAAAGTGGAAGAATTTTCCTCAGTTTGAATGATGGGATGTGAGGTGGTATAGAAGTAAGGTGGTATCAAAGAAAAGAATTACTCCCAAATGTATAACAAAAGTCAATGGTGTTGTTTTAGGACAAGTACAGTGATTTAAGTATCTGGGCACATGGATAACATTAGATAGAAGATGCATTACTGAGATAAGAAACAGAATAGGACAGGCAAAAACTTCATTTTATCAAATGAAGAATGTCTTGTGCAATATATCCTTGTCATTGAGAGTTAGAAAAAGAATTCTTGCTTGCTGCATACATCCAGTTTTAACATATGGCTGTGAGTCCTGGACAATCGGTAGGCATTTCAAACAATTTCTTGAGGCCTCAGAAATGTGGTTTTACAGAAGAATGCTCAAAATACCTTGAACAGCCAAAAAAAAGAGCAACCAAGAGGTTTTAAAAGAGGTGGGAGCCCGAAGACAACTTATTACAGATATCAGAAGGAGACAGTAAACTTTTCAGCCATGTTATGAGAAGAGGGAAAATGGAACATGTTGTAACCACTGGAAAGATCTGTGGAAGGAGGGATAGGGGAAGACAATGAGAGAAGATTCTTGACAGTCTTGTTGCATGGCATGGAGGTGTGTCGGCACATGAACTAATACATGCTGCAGGAGATTGCAGATTGTGGAGAAGCATGATTGCCCACGCCACTCGACAAGGCGCCTGATGATGATGCTGAATTATTATTTTACTGTTGCAATATTATTAGCTAAAATTGTAGCTTTGTTTTGTTGTTGTCACTGTACGCACGCACACAAGCTCGTACACACATGCGCGGGCACACACACCTATACGGAAGAGAAATTGTGTCTGAGGTAAGTCAATCTAACAATACCATGTTTTCTATGACAGGTAAGCGGAAATGCAACAGACGAACATGGGAATACTTTTCTCCACATTGCTGCCATCAACAACCAACCTCAAGTCATAGAAGAGTTCCACAAGTTGGTGAGTGGAGGCTTTTATAGCAGCAGTGCATTTGTTTTTGTGCATGATTAGTTATCAAATGACCTTGTCTGCCAGGTTTTTCCAGCCTTAAATGGGTATCAGGTAAAGTCCTGGGAAGTGAAGGTGGCTGTAGTGATGTTGGCCACATCGCCCACAAGCGTTGATTGATTTATAAAATTTAGGTCCAGTCCTACAGGTCCAGGATACCTGAAGGTGTGGACAAGTTTTTTTTCTTAAATAGCTTATTATATTTGAGATTTGAAAGTTGTGGTGGTTTTACAGCTAAGCTGTGATATCTGGACCTTTAGCCCCAACACATCCAGTTTCAGAAAGTGGTCTGCTTCCTTACAACATGCCCCATCCAACTTTTCCCTTGTCTGGGGCCTCAATAACCCATATGCAGGTCTGCAGCCTGCTAATTTAGAGTTTGGGGAAGGGAAGAATAACTCTGCAACACATTTCTATGAAGCTGTTATCCCAGGACCAGGTTAGAAGGGAGGTCACTTTAACAGCCTGAGTCTGGCAGATACAGTCTTTCTTAAGGACTTGGAGGACCTAAATGAGACTAAAGCTAACATTAATCTGTCAGAAAATACAAACTTATCACTCCTCTGCATGATTGTGTATGCAACAGGGAAAGGAAGGAACAATAATAATGTCATCACTGCCTCCATGGTGTAGTGGCTAGACGCTCGCCTGTGAATCCGAAGGTCATGATTCAGGTCATAACGGAGCCAGACTTTTGATTTGTTGTTTAAATGACTTTGGCTCCCAGATCAACCCAGCCTTAAATGGCTACAAGGTAAAGTCCTGGGAGGTAAAGGTGGCTGGTATGATATTGTCATTAATGACAGCCAGTAATGAAGGCAGTCAGGTGACTGCAGGGGCAGCACTTAGCTGATGGATGTAATGTCCCAGTCCCTTCTCCAGCAAGAGGGCACTGCTGGGCTGACCGTTTATTCACGCTCACAAAACTGCACATCACTATGAACCTCAGTAAAAATTATCATAGAGCAGTGACCACAGCAGTGATTGAGTGCCAACTCTATAAGATAAAGGTCTAGCCCTATATGCCCATTATCCCTGAAGGCACAGAAAAACTTGCATTTCTGGCTGCCTCAACCATAGACACATTGTTTTGTTGCAGAGTTTCTTTGATGCTATCTATCCATCTTGTTCTTGGTCTACTTTGCACTCTACATCCTTCTACTCTTTTATTGTATACCTTGTATAATTTGGTGTCATAAGGCATTCTCTCTAAGTGGGAAAACCATTTGATGTTTTCCCCTGAAATTAAACAAATCAAAATCCCTTAACGAGGACTAATAAAATTGTCACCTGCCATAATGTCATAAGAGATGACCAAGAAAGGTTGGTATGAAACTTGCCGCCTCAGTGTGTAGATGCTATAGCCACAATATCCAAGCAATCAGCAACAGATTTGTCTTGGCATGAGTTGTTTAAAGGCATCTGTACTCCATCAGGAAATGAAAGATAGAAGGAAACTCCTCCTCAGAAAAATATTAAAATTAGTTAAAGAACCTGTCACAGCAGTTTGCCATTGCTTTCCTTTAGCTTAGCAATTAAAACTATGTCGAAATCAAAGAAAAATGGTCTGCTTCCAGATCACGCACAGATGCAATCAAACCGGGTGTCTCAGAGTTATGAAACATGTTTGCAATGCCTAATCCATACATGCTGACTTATATATATACTGGTACCAAAAAACCAGATTAATTATATGCTTTGTGTGTATGTGTGTGTGTCTAAAAAGGTCAACATTGACAGCATAAATACAGATGGAAACACAGCACTCCATGAGGCGTGCATCAGAGGCTACAATGAGGTCATTGTAAAACTGATCAACATTAAAGCTATGGCAAATATCAGAAATGCAAAGGGTATGAAACAAAATTTAATTTACCACTTTTAACTCTCGTTATTCTTGCAGTCATGGTAGCATAGTAGTTTGCCTCTTGCTGAATTATCTGTCGACATTTAAAGTACATTTAGGGGCAAATCATTTATTTTTCAAGCAAGTTAACTCTGAAATTGATCCATAATTATGATTATTTAGTCAGTCAATCAGTCACTTCATTAATCGGTCAGTTAAGTGTCATCTCCAGATCGAAAGCTGGTTTTAGTGAGTCATAAACTCAGGAAGTTAAAGCCATGACTGTTTCCATTTGATAGCACAGCATGATGATGATGATAAAACATTTCTATTTTACATGCCAGTTTATTCTCAGTAACCTATTTTTCATATTCCCCTTTTCCAAACTCACTTGCTCTTCAGATCATATTTTCATTCATTCCTTCGTATGGATAATTGAAATACTAAGATATTTTTTGTTTCACTGCTGTTCAGGAGAGACATCTCTCCATGTTGCTGCCAAATGCAGATCAATACAGCCATCTACTGTTTCCATGTTGATGGACTTCGTCATCAAAACCCATTCCTGGGAGTGTCTCAATATGTCAGACAAGTATGTTTCAACTAACCAGTAATGTTAGTGATATGTGTTAGCCTGCCAATCATGTAAGAGATACGTGTTAGCTAGCCAATCATGTGAGAGATGTCTTAGCTAGCCAATCATGTGAGAGATAATGTTAGCTAGCCAATCATTTGAGAGGTAAATGTTAGTTAGCTAATCATGTGAGAGATAAATGTTAGCTAGCCAATCATGTGAGAGATAAATATAAGCTAGCCAATCATGTGAGAGATGTCTTAGCTAACAAATCATTTAGGAGATACATTTTAGCCACGACCACATGAAAGATGAAATATTAACTGTTGAGTCATGTAGGTTGAAAATATGAATTCCAGTAAAAAAGAATCATTTCACGGTGTGTCTTGTATGTCTCTCCATAGAGCGAATGTTTGTCCTCTGAGAGCATAGCACAAAACTCCAGAGCTCCAGTGATGATGTACAGGCATGTCTTTGGCACCTAAACTCACGGGTCACTAATCTAAAATCAAACTCACAACCTTCAGAATTTGAAGTAAATGGCTAAACCCTGGCTACAGAGACTTCCTAAATGTTGAGGATTGAACTTAAGACCTTTCAAATGCAAAGTAAATGCTTTATCCATGAGCTACATCCTCAGTTTGTATATAATTCTCTGTCTTAGAATAGTGACCTTTAAAAATAACCTTATTTTCCACAGCTGTAACAACAATGCACTACACATTGCTGCCAGACATGCTTGTCCCGAAGTTTTGTGGGAATTCCGTTTTGTCTCTCTGAAAGCTCAAGATAATGATGGCTGTATTGCTCTACATAATGCTGTCAGGTACAGATGCAGCCCCGTAGCTTATGTGCTAGTTAGACTATTTGCTTGTGACACTGGGTGCAGTGTTGTCATGTCAGTGTGCTTCTGTGTTGTGTGTGTATGTATGGTAAACTCATTGTGTGGGTTAAAGGAAGTATGTTAGTATGGACCTGACTAAGATGGCATGTGTGCTAGTATGTTGGAATTATTCAAGATTAAACTTTAATAGCTTTGTCTAGAAATTACCAAACATTTCTATCTAATGCATACATACACACTCACATAACCACACACATACATATAAATGCCTGCGTTCTTCATGATCCTAATATCGATGGGGTACTGGAGAGTATGAACAGGCAGGAGTCGACCAGCATGATGGTGGACGGAGGATTCTAAGGACACCAAGGTCATGAAAGTTCAGGAGACAAAACATTTAGCAGAGACATTGTTGTGTTCCAGTGTGCCAGAATGAGAGCCGTATTCTGCCAAGGCCGTGTTACATGATAATGATGGCGTTGTTGATTTTTGTTGAAATAATTGTAGTAGACAAGTCATGGTGTTATAATGACAAGATATCAAACCAGACGAGAAGTAGTCAATTTCACAATATCATCAAACTATAAGCAAACATTTTGGCTAGAAAGCTTTCATCAGCAGATGACATAAATAAACAATGTTACAGTTACAAACAAGAGGTAACACAATCACTTGACTGAGGTCTCTTTAAGAAAACTCCATGTGTCTTTCTGGCTATCTGGAGCTCCGAGACATGTGTGAAAACAGGAAATAGATACTCAGCGGAAAGGAGCAGCGGCAGTAGTTGTAGTTCCTGCAGTAGGTTTTGTAGTAGCAGCTTTTATTTGTAGTAATGATAGTAATAGTAGCAGAAGTTGATGTTGTGTTTAATAGCGATTCATTTTATTGTAGTAATAGTAGTAGCAGAAGTTGATGTTGTTTTAATAGTGATTCAATCTGTTGTAGTAATAGTAGTCGCAGAAACCAGAACTGTTTATTAAGAAATTATTTTAAAAAAAGGAGAATGCAATCTGTGATTGTTAAATCATGCATCTGTTGTCAGACCTGGTGAGCTAAAACTGTTTAAAACATTATTTAAAAAACGGGAGAATGTAATCTGTGATTGCATAATCATGCATCTGTGATTGTATAATCATGCATCTGTGATTGTATAATCATGCATCTGTTGTCAGACCTGGGGAGCCAGAGGTTCTGGACATTATGCTGGACATCTTTGAAGCCATGAAGAGGGACTGCAACATCAATCACCAGAACAAGAATGGCGAGACACCCTTGATTCTGGCTGCCAGGTTAGATATGGCTATCTGTAATTTCTGTTTTTTATGTATTGAATATTGTTTGAATTTTGTTTGATTGTTGTTCACAATTGTTCAACTATATCATTGTTAGTCTGGATTTTTTCATCAACATCACCAAGTGCCACCTGTGCTGGCTGTTGAAGAGGGGGATGAGGCACCTATGGGAATGTTCCAAGTACTGTGATGTTAATTCCTAATTCAGCTCAGCTCATGTACCAGGTACATTACATTGTGTTACTCCAGACACAGCTGTTCAGTGCTGTGTCCACTTTGGGGGTGGAGGGGGGGGGTATTTAAAGTGTTTCTGTCTCTGATACATTATTTGGTTTATATGCCAGTTTTATTTGATATTTAGGTCTTTAACTTTATTTTTTTAAGCTATTCCTTGCAAAATATTTAGTCTCACAATGAGAAGTGAGATCCTGTGTCTAATGATGAGTTTGGCATTACATAATTTCTAAAACAATGCACCAGTAAAATGTAAGTCTTAAATAAATGACTTGTTGTTTTACTTTAATAAATGACTTGTTGTTTTAGTTTATTTTAGCACCTCTTTTGTCTTTGTCTGAAAGCAGTAATAGAATATGGTAAGCCTTGACAGAAGAACCTGTTGAAATGCCTCATGCTAGATGCTGACTAGTTGCCTGTTTTCTGACCAGAGAAGGCTTTCTTCAGGCTGTGAAGCGGCTGATTCTGTTTGGTGCTGACATTTCTCTACTCAGTCATGAGGGAAACAGTCTTCTTCATATGCTGACCTCCCTGTCGGTCACCAGACCTGGGAGATGTGGACACTTCTTGGAGGTCATTCAGGTGATTCTGGACAGAGCTCCCATGGTATGTGTAGTCATTATCATATGTTTAATTGTATAATGAAGGAACACATGGAAAGTCTGGCTTGTGTGTTTGTTGTGCATGTCTTTGTGGTAGAGAGCTTGAATTTGTCATAAGGTTGAAGAGAAGAAAGAACTAATGTATGACTGTAAGTCTGTTTGGTGTATCATTGACACATTACCTTGTAGCAGGCTGTCTGCCGAGACCCTGTCTCAGTACGCCATCAGTAAAATATGGTTCCTTTAAATGCCAGTTGCTCCTGGGCCTGTGGTGCTACACTCATTTTTCTATGAAGTAATAGGCCCTCGATAGATGGTGTAGTCGCTGTAATCAAATGTTTGAGAGAAGAGTCAGAGTACAAATATATCAGCATCCATGGCTAGCATCTCATCACTGTTGCTTTTTGCCAGGTTGCCTGTTCAGTCAAACAATCACAAATCAAAACGTTTACTTCATGCACAAAGACAAATACACAAACATACACACACATACACGTGTGCGCGCGCACACACACACATATTTAAATCAGTTACTTTTCCAAACACCTTAAGCACTACTGGTCAAGCCCAATTGTTTTTTTTTTAGCATAAAAACTCTGACCAGTGAAGCTGTGAGTATTAGTGATCACATGGTCTTGCCTGCTCACCTGCCAGCCCAAAAGTCTACGTTCAAATCAGCATCATGTATTTTTATTTTCCTAAAATGACTTAGTCTCCTAGGTCGACCCAGCCTGAAATGAGTACCGGGTTAGGTCCTGGGATGTAAAGGAGGCTGGCGTGATATTGGCCACAGCTAATTAGTCTGTAAAAATATGAGTCTGGCATCATATCAGACAGTAATGATCTATTTGTGCCTCGGCACTGTTCACTCACTCTGAAAGTGCCTTCACAACATCTAGTTTGTCATACATTAATTTACCACCAGGTCGTGCAAAACCAGCTAGTCTAGCTGCATGCTCATTTCCCAACACACTAGCATTACCTTGAGAAAATATCCAAAGGACACTAACAACCTGGGACCTCTAAAGCGATGTTTGCCATGCAGCACAGAGCATGCCTGTCCGTACCTTTCTAAAAATACTCTGTGAGTCAGTTACAATAATGACATGCAAGTGCAGCTGATATCATGCCAGCTGAAGGCAGCAGTGACTGCCTCCACCTCTATTTTCAAACTAGACATTGTCAATTATATGCCAGGTTTGGCTGCACTAAGCAGCAACCATTCACTTTTGCTATGAACCTCCATGCACTTTGTCTGCCTCTCAACATAGAGCGATCTGTATAGATAATCACATTTGTGGACAAAAAAGGAATGATGAGGCTCCTTTAGAATGTGAAGCCCTAAGCTTTAGGCTAGTTTTTGTCCAAATCCAGCATTGATCACAAAAATGTTCAAGAGTTAAATTATTGGAAGAAGTTGGAATAGAAATCATGACTAAGCCCACTAAAGGGCAACAACAACAACAAAAACTTTTGGACTGGGAACAGCCTTTAGTCCCACTTACAGTTTTATAGGGATCAGGGGAAACTTAAAGGGTTGAAACCTTGTTTAAATGTGCAGTTATTATTATTGTTCTATTATGTGCTAAGTGGTAAATTGATTTAATATATTTAAAAAAAAAAAATTAGAAATGAATATTGAAGAGAAGAACATATAAATATTCCTTTCCCGTTTTCCTTTCCTTCCACTCCCACTTTCTCCCTGTCTTATCGTTCATCTCCCGCCACGCCTGTATTTCTTCCCCCAGGGTATTCTCCTTTTACTCTTCCCTCATCATTCCCTTCCTGTTTCCTTTGAAAAGGGTTGTTTACCTACCTAAGACATTTCCCAGTACCAGTTTTGTGATGTCAGCCTGGGATACCTAGGACACCTGGATATCTAGTCATTTTAAAAACTCTGCCACAGTGAGTATTTAAACCTCTAACTGTTAGACTGCCAAGAAAGAATGCTAACCGCTCAAGATAAAATGATTGCATGTAAGTTTTAATAAGACAGAGAAGAGATAATGGAGAGAAGAGGAGAAAATGTATGGTCTAACATACATTTCTGTGATGTTTTAAGCCTCTAACTGTTAGACTGCCAAGCAAGAATGCTAACTGCTCAGGATAAAATGATTGCATGTAAGTTTTAATAAGACAGAGAAGAGGTAATAGAGAGAAAGAGAGAGAGGAGGAGAAAATGTTTGGTCTAACATACATTTTTGTGACCTATGGAGACAATTCAATATTTGGATATAAATTCTGCCTCATTTGGACAATTGCTGGTTTGTGCTGATGGCACCTGGCTGATAAAGGTGTTTGTATGTTGTGTGTGTGCGTGCGTGCGGGTGCAAATGTGTGTGTGTGTGTGTGTGTAAAACAAATGGATATGGTATGTATTTGTTTCAGTGGTATGTATGTGTTTCAGTGGTATGTATTTGTTTCAGTGGTATGGTGGAAGGCAGAGCATGAGAATCAAAGACAAGGATCAGGATTTCCTGTTTGTGAGAAGGCGGGCTATTCTGAAACTGACAACTGAGATCCCCAATAACAGTGGGCTGACTGTCCTTGATCTTGCCTGCAAGGTTGGGGCTTGTGAGGTCATCAGGTTGCTGGTTTCCATGGAGAATGTCATGGCTTTCAAGGTCAGTCAGAATATTGTAGAAATGCCTTTGTTTGGAGAGAGAAAGGATGTTAAGGAGAATAGTAACTGAAAGAAGAGGAGAAATAAGATGTAATAAATGGGAGTAGTAGAAAGAGGAAGGAGTTAAAAAAAAAAAGTGACGATTATTAGAAAGAGGAAATGTTAATCTTCTTCTGAGCATTGACCAGCTTTTAGCTCTGGCAACAAGTTTTGGCTACACTCGCACTTTTGGAATTTAGTCTTAAATCAAGAATTTGAATTTTGCATAAACAATGAGTCGGCATCTGTGTTTAAGGGCTACAAAACCTGTTTGTAATTCTGAAATATCTAGCTCGATTCAACTGTGTGCGATTTGACAGAGTATTGGTTGCTTGTGCCTTGATTTAAAAAAATCGTAGACAGTGCCAACAATTCAGAAAGCAGTGGCAAACTACTGAGTGTAAATCTGCCTAGTAAAATAGCCAACTAGTGTTGGGGTTGATTTGCAAAATCCTGTAAAGGGTACTAAAAAATTAGGAGGAAGAGAACGATGTCAAGGGGAAGTAGAGGCCAGAGAAAACCTAAACCAAGAATCACTAAGGACATAGAAATAAAAGTAAAAGTAAAGGACTCATTTTCACACCTTTCAAGCGTGTTGGGTATATAGGGCTAGACCTATATTTTAAAGACCAAACGGCACTTGGTGATGTAGTCAGCATCAAGCCAGCCACCTTTACTTCCTAGGACTGTATCTGGTACCCACCCAGGGCTGGGTTGACCTGGGAGCAAAGGTCATTTTTAAAAAAATCTGGCCCTCATCAGTAACCGAATTCACAACCTTTCAATCCGCAGCTGAGTGTCTAGCTGCTAGACCATGGCGACTCCCACTAAAGACATAGAACATAAGTTAAATGTAATTGAAAACAGATGGCTGGAAAATTTTGAAGAAAAAATGGGATGAATTTAAGAGAGGTGAAGAAATAAGAGAAATATGTGGGCAACCAGTGGTAACAATAGCTATAGGACACAGAGGATGCCACTATATAGGACACATCCTGAGAAAAAAAACAGAGAATTACTGTACCAAACAGGCACTACAATAGGAAATAAAGAGGCTGAGGAAGCAAGGGAAGCAAGGATGTCCTGAAATGAATGTTGATGAGAGACTAAAGGTTCTAGAGTGGATTCCATTCATGGTATAGGAGGAAATGTATAGAAGGGAATGGGGGAATAGACTGCTAGCCCTATGTGACACATGATGGCACAATAGGACATTGATGATGATGATGATGATGAGGAGGAGAATGATGAGGATGATGGTGAGGAGGATGAGGATGATGATGATGATGAGGAGGATGATGATGAGGAGGATGATTAATTAGTATGTTATTAAATAATTTAAACATCAATTGATCACTAGGTAGGACAGATCACAAGATATGATGTTACCAACATCATTCCAAGAACTATCGGCTCCCTGAGCATGAGCTTCCCTAGCAACAAAGTGACCCCTCGGACAAGCTGTCTGACCTGGCTGCTTGTTAGTGGTCGGACACTGCCCCAAAATGCTGCCAAAGTGCTGGACATCCAGGTAGATGTTTTAATGGTTTTCTCGATGGGTCTTTCAACTCTTTCTCCTCTTGTTCTATCTGTTACTCTCCATTTCTCTCTTTTGAAAGTACTTCTACAATTCCTTTCTTCTCCATCTTGCAAATGTTATCACACCAATGATACATTTATTGCCATTATCATCATTATCAGGGCTTTTCCCCCCTCAAATGCTAGGCAGCACTAGCACCTTTTCTGATGCATCAGTTTTTAACCCTACTGTAAAAGACACTTTGTGCTGTGTACTGACACACTTTTTTTAGATACTTTACACTGTTTCATTATTATTCTTACAATCATTTGCCAGTATAGTGACTGAGGGAATTACAACATTGCAATCAATCAGTCAATATCTCCCACAGCCGTTCTGTGATATTGAAGCTGCCTATGGTGCTGTAGCCAACTGGAGTTATGCCATCCTTATGGCAATGCACATCTTGTACATGAGTGTGTTCAGGTGAGGGAGGGCCTTTGGTCTTTTTATTATTTTGTATGCATCTCTTCTGTGAGTTTCAGGGCCTTATACGAAGCACGAGGTAGTGGGGAATAGAATGATGTAAAAGGCGACTAACTTTGGCTTTACTGAAATTCAGTGTTTTCAACCGAAAGGCACAGATACTGCAGACTGGCTGTAAATCACAGTGCAGAAGAAATTAATTAACTGAACTTGACTAGAAAGCTGACTGAAGGTGGGAAAGGGAAAACAAACAAACACTCACACACACAGAGTGTGAGAGAGAGAGAGAGAGAGAGAGAGAGAGAGAGAGAGAGACCAAAAAAAGACATTTCAGCAGTAGTCTTTATCAACACAAACCACAACAACAAGGAAGAGAGTATCCTGATTTTAATACAGAAGAAGAAGTGCTTGTGTATGCATACCAGTGGGGTTTTAATTGATATGTCTAGTTGACATAGGTTTTGTTTGTTTGTGAGACAGTTAGTATTTATTTAGCTATACTTCACATTATATAGGTTGTGTTTCATATTTGTATTGTAAAATCAGGGAGGCATGGTGGCACAGTGCCTAGTTCACTGTCTGTGGTCTGATGACAATGTGTGATTTTGTTTTAGATGATTTGGGCACTGGGTTGACCCAGCTGAAAATGGATACCAGTACTTGTTAAAGCAGCCATTGTTATAGGCAGCCATTGTGATATTTACGATATTAAACAATGTGGATAAGTATATAAAAATACATTTAGCTACACACTAAAGCTATTTGTTACACATCCTTTTCAGAACTTGCAAACTAACCCTACCATTCATTGTGTAGCTGTGGTTTCAATAGATAATTTAATGTTTAGTAGTTTGCCATTCAGCAGTTTTATGCAAAGGTATTAAACGGGCATCCATTTTAATATCTTGGAATAAAATTCACCAGAGAGGGTAATTTGGATGAAGAAAGCATCTGATGCAGTAAAGCAAACTATGTTTTAGGACAGCAGAGTGCTTATTATAGCATAAGACAATCCTGGTCAGCATAAAGAAACATCTCTTGAACAAGCATATTCTTTTTTCACCCTACCAGTGCCAGAATGGGCACTCAGAGTAAATCAGGATGCTGTCATGACCTCAAAAAAGTATCCACAAAGGACGCTAACTACCTGGAACCTCTGAAGCGATGCTAAAGCATGCAGTGAGTGGATGGCAGTGTTCATGTGACTGTGTAGTTAACCTTAGAAATTCAATTTTTACAGAGATCATCACAAGAAATACAGAGTCTGAATGCAGGTCATGACAGCAAATCAAATGGATTACCCATTTAAGACAGAATGCCTTGTGATGCTTATCATATTCTTTCCACTCTACAAGGCACTCATATGACTTTCTGGCTGCAGGAGTGACCAGAAAACACAGGCACCAACAATTCTACATAACAATGACAGCAAATCAAATGGATTACCCATTTAAGACAGAATGCCTAGTGATTTCATACCATACAAGGCATATGCTAAAACACAGGAGAAGGACAGAGAGTACGAGGTAGACCAAGAGCAGGATGGAGAAATAACATCAATGTGTCTGTGGTCATCATGGCCAGAAGAGCAGGAAGCAGAACTTGACACCAGAATCAGTAAAAGAGGAAGTGAAAAAGAAGTCTGCCATTACTTTCTGAATCGTGTTGTGCAAACGGCGTATGCAAGTAAATCCACACCTTTGCCTTGCTATGCTCAGTCTGCCCACAAGAAGTTGTTTTTGACATGTGTAGTACTGTCCTTATCTCTTCACCTCTTTGAGGTGGGAGAACCTAACTGTAGCTACACCTCTTTAAGTATAGGTCAAAGGCTTTTTAGAATGTGCAGTTCCCTCTATCACTGCAAGACAGAGACATGGAGAGGAACAACTCTCAGTGCAGAGTAACACAATTTTATATCTCATGTATTTCTTATGGAGCAATGTAAAATTGTTAATATTTTTTGTCAGCAGGGGCATCATATTCACAATTTTTTTTCTTTCCCTTGTTCAAGCTGGTCAGGTCTGGATTCTGCTGAATGATTCTCGACTGCGCCCTGGAGATAGAGGTGTCCACAGCTCTGCCCTGGTGACTTACATCATCGTGCCTCTGGAACCGCTGATCATAATTTTGTACTCTGTCTATAGACTGACCAAATTTTGTTGTTGCTCTGGAGATATCAGCTCCAGGTGAGTAACTGCAGCACACAACAGCTTTAGGGCACTTAACCAGTCACACTGAATGAATGAATTTAATGAATGAATGAATGAATTAATTTAATGTATGATTTAATGAATAATCTCAGGATTGACGTAACAACACTCAGGATATTTCCTTGTTTGTGATTTCCCCTTCTTCAGTTACACAGCAAAGTTGAATGCTACTGACAGCCTGATTAACTGATTTACTTTACCCTGCAGACTGTCAGTGTCCAGACACTCTTCTTTTCGCTGCTGAATCAGCCTCACCAGATTAAATCTTGTGTCTCTTCTGCTGCACTGATGCATTTGGTCAGAACACATTAAGTAAATCTGGCTTCCTTAGTTGCTAGTTGAAGTTTTTATTTATCTTTTATGAGAGTCCTGCACTCTTGATGACTACTCTGGATTTATTTCCCTACTGGGCATCTGCTAAAAAATGCTTCTGGTACTGAAAGAACTAATCTGTGTAGCCATGACCTTCATTGTTGCCCAGTCATGTCATTATTGATCGTGACAGCCATATGTATTTAATCTCTTCAGAACCATAACCTATGTTTGTTTGTTTTTTAAAAAGCTATTTTCAGTTTCCAGCACCTTATTTTAGTTATTATTCTAACAACTTTTACAGATTTATACCCAGCACTAGTGCTGGAAAAGGTTGGCAGTGAGATAGCAGCATGGTTAGGAAGAAATGTTTACGCTGCATTGATTCCAGTACCATTTCTTACCCAGCACTAGTGCTGGAAAAAGGTTGGCAGTGAGATAGCAGCATGGTTAGGAAGAAATGTTTACGCTGCATTGATTCCAGTACCATTTCTTACCCTGCACTAGTGCTGCTGGACAAGGTTGGCAGTGAGAGAGCAGCATGGTTAGGAAGAAATGTTTACGCTGCATTGATTCCAGTACCATTTCTTGTGATAGCACTGAGAGTCTAACTAATGTAATCTCAGCTTGGACAGATCTAAAGAGCATTCGAGTCAAGTCTGTGGGTACACAGAAGTCAGGACTTACTGTAACAATTAAGGATACAGAGACAAAATATAATTTTTTTTAAATATAACGAGTTTCACTTTATTGCACTGAGTTTTTTATCATCTGGCTCACTTTCCGTTCACAGAATGAATAGCTGCTGCTGAAAGAATCAAACATAGCACAGACTCTGTAGTTCCAGTGATGATCCTCAGGGATCTCCATAAAAATTAATTTCCTTAGCTGAACTACTCAGTCTGTGAAAAATTGTTTTAAAAAAATAGAATCATATGAACATTGCCATCTGTCGCGTGCAGATATGCACTAGAACGCACTAGTACTGAGTTCAAACGATAGGTCAACAGTCCGACCTTGAAAGTCCGGGCGGTCACATCGATCTCCTCTTCTGCAGTCTAAACAGGGCAATGTTCCTCTTGAATGATTCAGCTTGATGTCATTGGAACTAAATTTTAGGGTGTGCGTGTGGTAGCTTGTGTGGGCATGTTTGTGTGACTCTTCCTATTATTTGCACATTTTCTTATTGATCAAGTGTGTCAACAAATACACCAAAAACATATCCCCTAGTCATCATCGTTAACTGCCGTTTGGAAGCATTGAAGTTCATACTGTTCTGCCACACTTAGCACAGTGGCATTGTAATTTATTGGATGCTGCATTTTATTATACCCGATCGCACATCACAATGGAAACCTACGCCTCTCAGCACCAGAACGCACATCTCACCATCCACACACTGCATGCTTTAGCATCGCTTCAGAGGTTCCAGGTAGTCAGTGTGTTGGGAAATGAGCAGGGAGAGTGACTGGCCGGTTCTGCACTCTTCATTGTCAACTGATGCATGACAGGCTAGAGGTTGTAGTTGTCCTTTGGGAGTGAGTTAGCGTTGCTGAGGCACAAACAAGTCATCACAGTCTGAGGAGAACAGCACTGTGAGGGATGACCAGATCTCAGCACTCAAGGAAAAGGCAAGATGGATATACAACCAGACGGCTACTGGCACCAACGGAATTGGAACACTGCACTTGCTGCTAAAGAAGGTGATGGGGTGCTTATGGGAATGTCTCAGGTGCTGTGATGTCGATTCCTAATTTAACATTCAGCATTCCACACTTAGAATGAAAAATTTTTCATGTTTACAACCAACTGTATCTTCTGTTTATTGTTTGTAGACACAGGTTCTCACAGACAGAGCATATGCTAAAGACAAGCCTGATGGTTCTGATCAGCCACATCTATTGCCTGTTTGTCATCTTGTGGATCGTCATGTACATCACAGATTTCTGGTTTATGGACATCTTTCTATCAATAGCCTTATGTTTGGGTGAGTTGTGCCAGTAGCCCTGTGTTTGGGTGAGTTCTGTGAATAGCCCTGTGTTTGGGTTAGATCTGTCAGTAACCATGTGTTTGGGTGAGTTCAGTCAATAGCTCTGTGTTTGGATGAGTTCTGTCAGTAGCCCTGTGTTTGGGTGAGTTCTGTGAATAGCCCAGTGTTTGGGTTAGATCTGTCAGTAACCATGCGTTTGGGTGAGTTCAGTCAATAGCTCTGTGTTTGGATGAGTTCTGTCAGTAGCCCTGTGTTTGGGTGAGTACAATGAATAACCCTGTGTTTGGGTTAGAGCTGTCAATAACCCTGTGTTTGGGTTAGAGCTGTCAATAACCCTGTGTTTGGGTTAGAGCTGTCAATAACCCTGTGTTTGGGTTAGAGCTGTCAATAACCCTGTGTTTGGGTTAGAGCTGTCAATAACCCTGTGTTTGGGTTAGAGCTGTCAATAACCCTGTGTTTGGGTTAGAGCTGTCAATAACCCTGTGTTTGGGTGAGTTATATCAATAGCCCTGTATTCAGGTGAGTTCTTTCAACAGCACTTTCTCTAGTTCAGAAAACACCCGTGAGTGGAAATTCCTGCCAATATGTCTTTATTAAATCAAAAATGCATGCCTCAGTTCTGTAGTTATTTTTTTTGTTTGGTTCTATAAGTTATTTATGTGCACTTCATCAACAGCTATTTTCAACAGTTTCATTCTTTCAGTAGTTGTACATTCTGGTCCCAAACCATGGGATAGCAGGCGGTTTTGTAACCATAGGCTGTCCAAATGTGAACGGTTACATTTGTTGAAAGAGGTGTCAAGGATTTCCTGGTACTGGATTCACAGCCGAAACGTGGCTGTTTGTGTCACGTGATGACAGTCTTTCAGGACTTTATCTTTGAGGGGTCCTTCTGTCTTTCCACTTCTTTTTATATGTGCCGATGAATACATTGTCTCTTTGTTAATTATATGTATCCTAGAAAAGATAAGCCATGTTTGGATGAGCGATGTTTGGATGAGCCATATTTGGATGAGCCAAGATTGGATGAGCCATGTTTGGATGAGCCATGTCTGGATGAGCCATGTGTGGATGAGCCATGTGTGGATGAGCCATGTTTGGATGAGCCATGTTTGGATGAGCCAAGATTGGATGAGCTGTGTTTGGATGAGACATGTTTGGATGAGCCATGTTTGGATGAGCCATGTTTGGATGAGCCATGTTTGGATGAGCCATGTTTGGATGAGCCATGTTTGGATGAGCCAAGATTGGATGAGCTGTGTTTGGATGAGACATGTTTGGATGAGCCATGTTTGGATGAGACATGTTTGGATGAGCCATGTCTGGATGAGCTGTGTTTGGATGAGCCATGTTTGGATGAGCCGTGTCTGGATGAGCCATGTTTGGATGAGCTGTGTTTGGATGAGCCGTGTCTGGAGGAGCCGTGTCTGGATGAGCCATGTTTGGATGCGCCATGTTTGGATGCGCTATGTTTGGATGAGCTGTCTCTGGATGAACCTTGTTAATATTTGTGTGTTGAGATCTGTTATAAGCAGATTTTTATATCTGACCAAAACCCAGGTCAGCCCATCCTAAAATGGCTACCAGAAAATGACCTGGAAAGTTAAGGGCAGTCAGTGTCATATTCATCAACATCACACAGTCAGTGTCATATTCATCAACATCACACAGTGTCATATTCATCAACATCGCACAGTCAGTGTCATATTCATCAACATCACACAGTCAGTGTCATATTCATCAACATCACACAGTGTCATATTCATCAACATCACACAGTCAGTGTCATATTCATCAACATCACACAGTGTCATATTCATCAACATCACACAGTGTCATATTCATCAACATCACACAGTGTCATATTCATCAACATCACACAGTGTCATATTCATCAACATCACACAGTGTCATATTCATCAACATCACACAGTGTCATATTCATCAACATCACACAGTGTCATATTCATCAACATCACACAGTCAGTGTCATATTCATCAACATCACACAGTCAGTGTCATATTCATCAACATCACACAGTGTCATATTCATCAACATCGCACAGTCAGTGTCATATTCATCAACATCACACAGTCAGTGTCATATTCATCAACATCACACAGTGTCATATTCATCAACATCACACAGTCAGTGTCATATTCATCAACATCACACAGTCAGTGTCATATTCATCAACATCACACAGTCAGTGTCATATTCATCAACATCACACAGTCAGTGTCATATTCATCAACATCACACAGTCAGTGTCATATTCATCAACATCACACAGTCAGTGTCATATTCATCAACATCACACAGTCAGTGTCATATTCATCAACATCACACAGTCAGTGTCATATTCATCAACATCACACAGTCAGTGTCATATTCATCAACATCACACAGTGTCATATTCATCAACATCACACAGTCAGTGTCATATTCATCAACATCACACAGTGTCATATTCATCAACATCACACAGTGTCATATTCATCAACATCACACAGTCAGTGTCATATTCATCAACATCACACAGTCAGTGTCATATTCATCAACATCACACAGTGTCATATTCATCAACATCGCACAGTCAGTGTCATATTCATCAACATCACACAGTCAGTGTCATATTCATCAACATCACACAGTGTCATATTCATCAACATCACACAGTCAGTGTCATATTCATCAACATCACACAGTCAGTGTCATATTCATCAACATCACACAGTCAGTGTCATATTCATCAACATCACACAGTGTCATATTCATCAACATCACACAGTCAGTGTCATATTCATCAACATCACACAGTGTCATATTCATCAACATCACACAGTCAGTGTCATATTCATCAACATCACACAGTGTCATATTCATCAACATCACACAGTCAGTGTCATTTTCATCATCATCACACAGTCAGTGTCATATTCATCAACATCGGACAGTCAGTGTCATATTCATCAACATCGCACAGTCAGTGTCATATTCATCAACATCACACAGTCAGTGTCATATTCATCAACATCACACAGTCAGTGTCATATTCATCAACATCACACAGTCAGTGTCATATTCATCAACATCACACAGTCAGTGTCATATTCATCAACATCACACAGTCAGTGTCATATTCATCAACATCACACAGTCAGTGTCATATTCATCAACATCACACAGTGTCATATTCATCAACATCACACAGTCAGTGTCATATTCATCAACATCACACAGTGTCATATTCATCAACATCACACAGTCAGTGTCATATTCATCAACATCACACAGTGTCATATTCATCAACATCACACAGTCAGTGTCATTTTCATCATCATCACACAGTCAGTGTCATATTCATCAACATCGGACAGTCAGTGTCATATTCATCAACATCGCACAGTCAGTGTCATATTCATCAACATCACACAGTCAGTGTCATATTCATCAACATCACACAGTCAGTGTCATATTCATCAACATCACACAGTCAGTGTCATATTCATCAACATCACACAGTCAGTGTCATATTCATCAACATCACACAGTCAGTGTCATATTCATCAACATCACACAGTCAGTGCCAGTTCTGCTTTGGGTCTAGGCCTGATGATCTATGTTATGAAAAGGCTCCTAAAATTTTTTTTTTAACCACATACTTAGTATGGACCCTGGCATGGACAGGGGTCATTACTCTTACTCCCAATGTGGGTTCTTGGGCCCCATTGTGGGGAAGACAAGAACAGACCCACTGCTGCCCCAACAAATATGTCATAGAGGTCGAATAACTGAGGCATCCTTTCAAGTCAGAGTGCATTTGCTCAAGAGGCAAGGAACCAAGAGTCTGCGTACAAATAAGCAAAATCTGTAAAACTGTGATGCAAGCAACACTCTGGTTCTGGAACAAGACTAAAATCCGTGGTGGACAAGCATTCAGAACTTTCCACCAAAATTTACAGCTGGTGATCGCGAAGAAGAAAATGATTTTTACTTGTTAATAACTGTAAGTTATGTATTTAGGTATAATTTGTAGAGTCCAGTTTTAAAGCAAATTATGTGAAAAATTTGTTTTGAGACATGCATATTTTATACACAGAAATGTAGTGAAGTTAGAACAAAATAGTGACCTTTAGAAATCTAAAAATAGATGTCAAATAAAAAACATTTTGATGTCAAATAAAAAACATTTTTCACTACAGGCTGGATGCTGTCGATCGCTTTTACCAGAGGGTTCAAGGTCATCAACTACTTCTGGCGGTTGATTCAGATCATGATTGTCCGGGATGTGTTCAAGTTTCTTGTCATCTACTTGTTCATTTTGCTGGCTTTCTCGTTTGATTTCCATGCTCAGTTTCAAGGTAGTGTCATTTTAAATTTGACCCCTAATGTTGTTGTTGTTGTTGTTGTTTAAAGATGATAATATTGTTATTATTTTAGTTCCTGTTCCTGTTTTTAGTATTATTGATGTTGACTTGCAGCTGTTGTTGATGTCGCTTGGTCCTGTTGTTAATGCCATTTTTTGTTGTGATTCTGCTTTTGTAATTTTGATAGTCATTGTTGTTATTGTTGCTACTTCTGATGCATATGTTGTTGTATCTGATGTGATTGTTGCTACTTCTCATGCATATGTTGTTGTATCTCATGTGATTGTTGCTACTTCTCATGCATATGTTGTTGTATCTGATGTGATTGTTGCTACTTCTCATGCATATGTTGTTGTATCTCATGTGATTGTTGCTACTTCTCATGCATATGTTGTTGTATCTGATGTGATTGTTGCTACTTCTCATGCATATGTTGTTGTATCTGATGTGATTGTTGCTACTTCTGATGCATAAGTTGTTGTATCTGATGTGATTGTTGCTACTTCTCATGCATATGTTGTTGTATCTCATGTGATTGTTGCTACTTCTCATGCATATGTTGCTGTATCTGATGTGATTATTGCCACTTCTCATGCATAAATTGTTGTATCTGATGTGATTGTTGCTACTTCTCATGCATATGTTGTTGTATCTGATGTGATTGTTGCTACTTCTCATGCATATGTTGTTGTATCTGATGTGATTGTTGCTACTTCTCATGCATATGTTGTTGTATCTGATGTGATTGTTGCTACTTCTCATGCATAAATTGTTGTATCTGATGTGATTGTTGCTACTTCTCATGCATATGTTGTTGTATCTGATGTGATTGTTGCTACTTCTCATGCATATGTTGTTGTATCTGATGTGATTGTTGCTACTTCTCATGCATATGTTGTTGTATCTGATGTGATTGTTGCTACTTCTCATGAATATGTTGTTGTATCTGATGTGATTGTTGCTACTTCTCATGCATAAATTGTTGTATCTGATGTGATTGTTGCTACTTCTCATGCATAAGTTGTTGAATCTGATGTGATTGTTGCTACTTCTCATGCATAAGTTGTTGTATCTGATGTGATTGTTGCTGCTGTATTTTCCCAACTGTAATAATTGCTACGGTATCATTACTATGGTATTATTGCTACTTTAGTTGTTGACACTGTTGTAATTGTTAGTGCAAGGTAAACAAGATAACTGTCAAGGAAAAAAGACATAAACACATCCTTTTATAACTCTATATCCCAGAGCAGAAGAGGAGAGCCTAAACCAATTCTTGGCTATCTCACAAGCAAATAAAATATACCCTAACAGGGCCTCAGTCACATGACAGTTGCGGACTTCCGGGAACTATACTGCCACTGTTGAGAGTTTCTCCCACGCCGCTATGTGCTGCGTAAATTGGGGCTAAACTAGATGGCTGGGACTCACAAGCAAATAAAATTAAGGAAGCTGCAGGATGTGCGGTAGCTGTTTGCTCGTGAGTCCCAGCCATCTAATTTAGCCCCAATCCACGCCGCACGTAGCAGCGTGGGAGATACTCTCGGCAGTGGTGGAAGTCGCCGGAAGTGCGCAATTTGAGTCACGGGAAGTCCGCAATTGACATGTGACTGAGGCCCTGCTAGGGTATATTTTTGGCTTTGATAACTTGGGACCGTTATTCGGAGAATAGCCCAATTCTTAATGTACCTCTATTTCTCAGGGCAGATGATTAGAGCATAAACTAATTCTAAATGTACCTCTGTTTCTCAGGGCAGATGATTTAGAGCCTAAACCAATTCTAAATGTACCTCTATATTTCAGGGCAGATGATAAGAGCCTAAACAACCTCTGAACCTGTTTGCCATTCAAATGCTTAAAACAAGAGTCATTAACCCATGTGGATCCACACCCTCTTCCCCCCCCCCCCCCCCCTCCCTGCCCCCCCCCCCCCCCCCCCCCCCCCCCCCCCCCCCCCACAAAAATGCCTTTAAAGCCAAATGTTTACACAGGCCACCAATAAATGTTGACATTTATTTATGTACATTTAAAAAAAAAGATTGTTTCTTTAAAATATATAATGTTATACAAAAAAAAGTGAGCTTGATAAACACAGAGTCAAGTGTTAAATCCAATTCATTCCTCGTGTCCTGAAAAAAATATATTAAAAATATTATATTGAAAAAAAAATTATAAATAAAGTGTGAGGTCAACATGTCTGTGACATAGCCATTCATTTCCCCCTCCCCCCCCCCCCTTTTTCAAATGCTTTTTTATTTTGTATTTTGGCCCACAGGGTTGATATTCATCTTTAACCCAGAGTAGAAGAATGATGGATAAAGTGTCAAGTTATATTAGTTCCACCACCCCCCCCCCCCCCCCCCCTAACTGATACTTGCTCTAATTCCTTCATCTTCTTCTTCACATTCACTGGCTGTAAATTCCAGTGTAAAGTTCCTGTTGTTCCTTCACTTCTGGACTTAAGTCATGTTCCAGAACTTGAGTTTTGTGTGCACATCTGTTTTACAGATCTGGCTTATTTGTATGCAGACTGTTGATTGCTCACCTCTCAGTCAGATGCACTCTGGCTTTGAAGGAAACAGTCATAATTATTTGACTTTTAGGACATGCTTGTGGCGGGGCAGTGGGTCTTTTCTTTTTATCCTAAAATAATTAGGCCAGAACCCACACAGGAATCTTGTTACAACAATAAATTACTTTGACAATTTTTGTTGATTAAGGTAACAGTGTCATTACTGATGTTCTCCACAGTTTCTGATGATGTAGTCAACATATACCCAAATCCAGCCTACACAATATTTCTGATGTTTAACATGATGATTGGTATGGAGTACGTGTTCCAAGGGGATGTCGTCAGTGACGGCTTGAAGGCTGAAAGCAGAAGTGATGTCTTCATGAAGGTATTTACCATCTGTATTCACCAGTCTATTTTAAGTTATTTTATGTTTTTACAATTGACCTCAATACACTTTAAGCTTTCCCATGCATGCTCAGTCCTCCCACACGGCAGCCACTTCAAGCTTCTTAAGCTTCAACCTCCTGACTGTTCTGATGAAAAGTTGGTTATAGTGTCTCCTGTCCTGACCTCGAAGACGGCATAGATATGCTTCGTTAGTCTAAACTTTCACGTCATGCAATGATGTTGACATCAGAGATTCAACTTTATTCCCCAGCCTAGTCTGTACATCATCATCCATCAGTTCTTGTTATGCCTAGTGGCACATGAGACTTCAGAAAGGACTTTCCATGCTTTCCTGTCCTGTGCAATCTTCAGTGCAGTTTTCCATGTCAAAGATGCCGCACTCAGGTCACTTTCCATCGTTCGTCTCCATGTTGTTTTTTTCGGCGCCCCTGTTTTCTCTTTCCCTCTGGTGTCCATGTGAGAACTGTTTTGGCAGGTATATCAGAAGTCATTCTCATAACGTGGCCAAGCCATTTCCATCTTCTCTTGGTAATTATACTCTCTAAAGTTTCTTGTTTTGTGGTTTGAAGTAGTTTAGTGTTTGAGATTGTATCTGGCCAGAAAATTTTGATAATTCTACGTAAACATGTGTGGTGGAAGGTGGACAGCTTGTGTTCATCCTTTTTGGTCATTCTCCAGCATTCCGCTCCTCTGCAGAAATTGTTGGATTTCCAGATTTGCCTCATCCTTCCAAAAGCAGCTCTAGCTTTGTTCAGATGTGACTGTATGTCTTCCTCTGTCCCTCCCAGTCTGTACAGTGTTGATGATATCAGCTGTGTCCATGCTTCTTCCTGTTTATGCTGGTACATTACCTGCCAGCTGATCAACTCTGTAATAACCTTTTACTCCTGCATGTCTAGATGTGTACAAGTCTAACTGAGTTTACTTTCATGTTGTGTCTGATTTAATGTTCATGTGATGCTTTCCTGAGGGTCTGAATGTCTTGAGTTTGAATCCACTTAGGTGTAGTTGTGTGTGTTCCAGGTTTACCAGAAAATATTTATGAAATTAAAGGTGGACAGCACTATGTTGACTATTTATGTAAGTAATATCCCTTCTACGGTACAGTGGGTATGTAATGTTAACATATTATTTTCTGACACTGAATGTTTTTTTTTTTTTTTAAGCTATATTTCACATTATGTAGGTTATATAATGATGTCACTCTTTGAGTATTGCTTGGTCCAGAAAATATAGGTCTGTCTTCATATACACAGTGCACAAATACATAAGAAAGTCTTTCACTTTACTTTTGACTTTATATCAGTTTCCATCAATCAGGTGCCATCTCCACAGTGAAGGTTGACTGCAAAGGATCTTTATCATGATCGGTCTCTTATTTTGGTTATACACTCTCTCCAGCTATTGTTCATCCATCTCTTGATGTTGCCCTCCAACTTATTACATTGTCTGCCTCTTCCTGTCATGCCCTTGACCTTTCCCTCCAGTACGGGTTTTGAAAGCTTATTGTGTCTTTTAATGGGGTCAAATATTTCATGTCTTTTTTTTTTTTATTTCCATATTTCTCTTTTCAATCACAGTCTTTCCAGAACCTCTGTATTTGTCATACCAGTACATAAGAAAGGTGTTTTACTTTAGTTTTGACTTTATACCTGACATACAAAGCCTGGAAAAGAGGCTTTTCCTGTTTTATTGCTGCCGCTGACATTTCCTGTGTCATAGGATATGACTTAGCCATTATATTTTTTCATAGTTTTCTCAGATAACACCTTTGTTCTGTTACAAAAGTTGCATCCAGAACTTCTTCTGTAAGGAATCCTGACCTAAACATGACTGCAGTAAGCTGATTGCCCAGTTAGTTATTACTTCTGTGCCAGTTGTTACTTCTGTGCCAGTTGCTACTTCATGCCAGTTGTTACTTCTGTGCCAGTTGCTACTTCCATCCCAGTTATTATTTCTGTGCCAGTTGCTACTTCCACCCAGTTATTACTTCAGTGCCAGTTATTACTTCTGTGCCAGTTGCTACTTCCATCCCAGTTATTACTTCTGTCCCAGTTGTTACTTCTGTCCCAGTTGTTACTTCTGTCCCAGTTATTACTTCCATGCCAGATATTACTTCTCTCCGAGTTATTACTTCTGTGAAGGATGAGCAGTGTATCTGGGCTTGCCATCCAGAAAGAGATTTAGCAATCACATGGCAGTCATATCTGTAAGTAGCAGCTCAGAGAGAAGAAACAGAAGTAACAAATGTGGAATTAGCAATCACAGGGCAGTCAAATCTGTAAGTAGCAGCCCAGAGAAAAGAAACAGAAGTAACAAATGTGGAATTAGCAATCACAGGGCAGTCATATCTGTAAGTAGCAGCCCAGAAAGAAACAGACAGAAGTAACAAATGTTGAATTAGAACCACATTTATTTACTTTTGTAATAATTGTTTTGTTTTTTACTATGTCCAGATTTTGTACATTCTGTACATGATCCTAGCAACCATTGTCCTGTTAAACATTCTCATTGCCATGATGAATGACTCCTATCAGGAGATTCTAGAGGTATGTTCATTTAGCAACATGTTGGCCCAGTTTCATTTTCCATGTTTTTCCTTTTGTTTTAATTCAGTAAAGTTACAGCAATAACCCTGCAAATGTAAACAACTTATACCATGACCTGAAATCCACAGCTATAGCTACTCCCATTTACATTTTGATTTGATCATTTCTGATCCTGTCTCCTCTAATATCGCAGGAAAAGATAGGATCTGAAACAGTGTAATCCAGGGGGCACTAGGGGTAGCGGAGGATCAGAAACAGTGTAATCCAGGGGGCACTAGGGGTAGCGGAGGATCAGAAACAGTGTAATACAGGGGGCACTAGGGGTAGCGGAGGATCAGAAACAGTGTAATCCAGGGAGCACTAGGGGTAGCAGAGGATCAGAAACAGTGTATTCCAGGGGGCACTAGGGGTAGCGGAGGATCAGAAACAGTGTAATCCAGGGGGCACTAGGGGTAGCGGAGGATCAGAAACAGTGTAATCACTAGGGGTAACGGAGGATCAGAAACAGGGGTAGCGGAGGATCAGAAACAGTGTAATCCTAGGGGGGGGAAACACTAGGGGTAGCGGAGGATCAGAAAACAGTGTAATCCAGGGGGCATTTGGGGTAGCGGAGGATCAGAAACAGTGTAATCCAGGGGCACTAGGGGTAGCGGAGGATCAGAAACAGTGTAATCTGGGGGCCTAGGGGTAGGGGGCACTAGGGGGCACTAAGGGTAGCGGAGGATCAGAAACAGTGTAATCCAGGGGGCACTAGGGGTAGCGGAGGATCAGAAACAGTGTAATCCAGGGGGCACTAGGGGTAGCGGAGGATCAGAAACAGTGTAATCCAGGGGGCACTAGGGGTAGCGGAGGATCAGAAACAGTGTAATCCAGGGGGCACTAGGGGTAGCGGAGGATCAGAAACAGTGTAATCCAGGGGGCACTAGGGGTAGCGGAGGATCAGAAACAGTGTAATCCAGGGGGCACTAGGGGTAGCGGAGGATCAGAAACAGTGTAATCCAGGGGGCACTAGGGGTAGCGGCAGCACTTAAATTTATTAGAAAACAAGTGAAATGGTTTGGCCATGTAAAGCGGATACCAGCAAACAGTATACCACAGCAAGCGATGAAGTACAGACCAGGGGGGAGTGAAGAAGAGGCCGACCATGCAAGTGATTGACAGAGGAAATATTAGAGTCCCTAGGAATCTACATTTATGAAGCACACAAACGGGCACATTCCCGTAAATTATCCTTCAGCTCGACAGCGCGAGTATATAATGGTCAACGTGACATGAGATGATGAGATACTAAAAAGTCATGACAGAATAGGGATTAGTGCACTGGATCCCGAACCTGTTGGTGTGGGTCAAGCCCGCACTTGTGGCTCCAGATCCAGTCACAGAATTGTGCCTAAACTGGGTGAATTTAAAACATGTATTCATCTTCTCCTGTTTAAGTGTTCACTGGCTGTAATCTCTGAAGGAAAGTTTTTATTGTTCGTCCACTTCTGGATTTAGTCTTGTTCCAAAACTTGAATTTTATGGGCGCATCCATTTTAAAGATATGGCTTATTTGTATGCAGACTGTTGGTTCCTCCTCACTCAGGCAGATACGCTGTGACTTTGAACGAAAAACACCTAAATAGTGGTCGTTTATGACATGCTTGTTACAGGCAGTGTATCTATTCTATTTTTTGCTCCTTAAAAGGGGCCAGAGAACTCACATGGGCAAGTGTGCTCGTGATGTTGGTGAAGCTGAGAAACCCTGGAAAGGTGATGTATTCATGTGAAAGTCCCACAAAATATCACAACAGCACAGTCAAGTGGACGTTTCTGCAAAAATGAGATCTAGGGCAATAAAACCATAAAGAAAATTTGGGCAGGAGTCATGAGCCTGAATAAAAAGGCAGTCTTTGGAGGAGGTGGTTTCTAGAACAGAAGGCTTAGAACTGATGTTGTAAGATGCTGGCCAAGTTGTCACAGGCTTGAAAATTGAAACCTATACACCATAGTGATTTAGCTAGACTAAAGATAAGATAACTACATTGATTGCACCAGGCTCTCTCTTTCTCTCTCTCTCTCTCTCTCTCTCTCTCTCTCTCTCTCTCTCTCTCTCTCTCTCTCTCTCTCTCTCTCTCTCTCTCTCTCTCTCTCACCAGAGTGTCTGGTTGCCTGTAAAGAGTGTCAGACAAAGTATAAGCTGTCACTTCAGTGATGACCCTTAGAGATCTTCGTACAGACTCTAAAAGTTAACATCAGGAAGTTTGCAAATTTTACAAGATAAAACTGTAGATTGTATATACTGCAAGAGTTTAAGCTATGAGCTGTGTATACTCTAAGACAGTGATTCTCAAACTGTGCACCCTCACCCCGGGGAGCCTTGACCTCTTTACAGGGGCGCTGCGAAATATTTCAAGATGCATGAGTTTTATTTTTTTATTTTTTAATCTCCTACATAAGAATATTTGTACTTTTATTAAGGTTATGGCGGCATGGAGAAATTTTTATTGAAAGAAAAAAAGTGCCGCGACTAAGAAATGTTTGGGAAACACTGCTCTTAGATTTTACACCTTGTTATACATTTAATCCTAAATGTTACAACCATTATAAATTACGCACTCCTTATGTGTCTAGTAATAATGTTCATCATCTGTAACAGCCAAAGCCATATTTCTGTACTTCTCAAAGTTAATTGTATGTGAATGTCTTGTCTTGGCATGCAGCGACAGCAGCTGACGTGGAGGATAGAGTCGGTGGCCTTGGGCGTGGACGTGGAGCAGAGTCTTCCCACAACCTTCACCTTGTTTAGCAAGGTCAAAGTTGTTCACGGGTTAGTGGGCTTGTTTATAAATTGAAAACTGAGGACTGAAATTTGTAATTTGTTGGTTTCTGCGAGGGTGTTTGTTGTTCCAATTATACTGAGTTGTAAAAAGACGTTATTATTCAAAGTTGGTTTCAGATTGGCTTTTAGAGGGAGCATGTTGACAATGGAAGACCTAAAACATACGGAGGAAACATGACTAGACCTGATCTAAGCGGGACTGTATGTCTGCTGTTGGAGGAAACATGTCCAGCCTTGAGGTAATACCAGCGGGACTGTATGTCTGCTGTTGGAGGAAACATGTACAGCATTGAGCTAATACCAGCCTAATTGTATGTCCTCTGTGGAGAAAACATGACCTACTTAGACCTCATCAAATAACCAGAACTTTCCACTGGAGTTTACAGCTAGGCAACGTGAAGAAGAACCCATGATCTTCAGTGCTTTAAGCAAACAGCTTGACCACTTTGGCACGAAGACCCCATGTTGGGATCTTGTCCCACTTTACCAGGGAGACCCCATGTTGGGATCTTGTCCCACTTTACCAGGGAGACCCCATGTTGGGATCTTGTCCCACTTTACCACGGAGACCCCATGTTGGGATCTTGTCTCACTTTATGATGGAGACTCCATGTTGGGATCTTGTCCCACTTTACCACACAGACCCCATGTTGGGATCTTGTCCCACTTTACTACAGAGACCTTATGTTGGGATCTTACCCCTAACAGATGTATTAATGCCTCTTTAAATGAGTTGATAATCGATTTTTAATAATTGATACTGAAATTTGGTTGAATATTCCCTTTTTTTATGTGCACATTTTCTTTTTAAAATCAGCCACATCTGCCAGTCTGATGAGCTGTGTGGCATTCTCCGATGGTACATTGAAGTGGGCAACGTACAAGATGGACCTGCTCCTGGAGTCAGCTCCAGTGAGACTGAGGATAAGAAAGACGCTGCCTCAGAGCTACAGGCAAAGATGACTCAGGTGGAAGCCAGAATGTCAGAGCAGATGCATTCCATCAAAACTACTGTGGATGATATGAACCTTGTGTTGAGGAGTTTAGAGCAATCTTTGGCATCTCAGAAATAAAGCTCTATTTTAAAATACTTTCTTCCGTTTTGAGTCACTTCTGACTGTACTATAATCAGCATCGTCTTTAAAGTTTCAACTCAAGGCTGTAGAAGTTTTTTATGGATAATTCAGATCATGTGTTCAGGAATTTAGAGCAATATTTAGCATCTCAAAAGTATGGCTTATTTGTGTTTTTTCAGTACCTCCTTCCACTGTGTGTCACCGCTGACCTCCTTCTCTTGTGTATCACTGCTGACCTCCTCTTGTGTATCACAGCTGACCTCCTTCTCTTGTGTTTCACTGGTGACCTCCTTCTCTTGTGTATCACTGCTGACCTCCTTCTCTTGTGTATCACTGCTGACCTCCTTCTCTTGTGTATCATTGCTGACCTTCTTCTCTTGTGTATCATTGCTGACCTCCTTCTCTTGTTTATCATTGCTGACCTCCTTCTCTTGTGTATCACTGCTGACCTCCTTCTCTTGTGTATCATTGCTGACCTCCTTCTCTTGTGTATCATTGCTGACCTTCTTCTCTTGTGTATCACTGCTGACCTCCTTCTCTTGTGTATCACTGCTGACCTCCTTCTCTTGTGTATCATTGCTGACCTCCTTCTCTTGTGTATCATTGCTGACCTTCTTCTCTTGTGTATCACTGCTGACCTCCTTCTCTTGTGTATCATTGCTGACCTCCTCTTGTGTATCACAGCTGACCTCCTTCTCTTGTGTATCACTGCTGATCTCCTTCTCTTGTGTATCACTGCTGATCTCCTATTTGGGCCTCACTATTTTATATTTCCAAAAACAATTGGTGCACTGTAGCCAATCTTCATCATGGAGACGGTACAGAAATGTGTTGTACTGTAGTATTCTAGGCGTATCTTTTAAACCTCCAGCACATGTCTGCAGAAGTTTCTATGCTTCTGGCATAGTGATATTTGATTGTGAAATTATTTATGGCATATTGATATTAGTCTGTGAAATTGTCTCTAGCATATTGATATTTGTTTGTGAAATTATTTCTGGCACAGTGATATCTGTTTGTGAAATTATTTCTGGCACAGTGATATCTGTTTGTGAAATTATTTCTGGCACAGTGATATCTGTTTGTGAAATTATTTCTGGCAC